TAACCAGTAACTTAACCCGTCACTTAACCAGTCAATTAACCAGTCAGTTAACCAGTTGCTTAACCAGTTACTTAACCATTTACTTAACCAGTCGTTTAACTAGTCACTTAACCAGATACTTAACCAATAACTTAACCTGTCCCTTAACCAGTCACTTAACCACTCTCTTAACCAGTCACTTAACCAGTTACCTAACCAGACACTTAACCAGTAACTAAACCGGTCGCCTGACCAGTCACTTAACCAGACACTTAACCAGTAACTTAACCGGTCAATTAATCAGTCAATTAACCACTTTCTTAACCAGTCACTTAACCAGTTACTTAACCAGATACTTAACCACTAACAAAACAGGTCGCCTGACCAGTCACTTAACCAGACACTTAACCAGTAACTTAACCAGTCGCTTAATCAGTCATTTAACCAGTCAATTAATCAGTCAATTAACCAGTCAATTAACCGGTCACCTAACCAATCACTTAGCCAGTCGCTTAAACAGTCGCTTAACCAGTCATTTAACCAGTCACTTAACCAGAACCCTATATAGACACATAAATAGACAATCACTAATTTAACCCTCTTTAACAACACACTTAACCAGACCCATACATAGTGGTGAAATAATACCACAAACAATTAAACATAAACTTTATCATAAAAACTTGATCTTATATTTTTAACAGCACACCGAATTATCTGCCTTTTGAAGGAACGACCAAATCGCCACAGCGCAAACGCATCCCTTCACTTCAACACAACGACTCAGATGTCCATTTCTCTCTGGCGACGAAAGAAGAATTCTGGGACGATGGTCCGATAGATATCTATGAAGCTTTCGCTCAACATTCCTACAAGACTTTAGAGACGTGTAACAATACTTGTCATGCTGTAGAGACTGTGTGTAAGGCTAATACTATTAAACTGTTGGATAAAATAAACTTAGACGATATTGTAGAGAAGAAACCTTTTCTCGCAAGAGGGCAGTATGTTTTTGAATGGGAGAAAAAATATTTGAGTTATCCCCCTTTGAACGATATTAAAACGCTGCCAGATTTGAAGTTGTCTAAAGTGACAGTTGAAAACACAAGACAAGGTGTGGTCAGGTGTAAGATACTTGAAACTATACACGGTCGTCTGGATGTCGTGGATGGGTACGGGCGTCAGAGAACCAAGGGAGACGATGTGGTCAGGGTGTGGATGAAGGGAGGTAATAACTCAGATCACGCTGTTGTTGGTAACGTCACAGATTTACAAAATGGCAGCTATACCTTCACTGTTAAATGTTTGTGGGCTGGTATCTCTAAGGTAAGTTTTAAAATATTTTAAACCAAAAGATTTTTATGGTTAAAATCTTTTAAACAAATAAATTCTTATGGTTATTTAAATGTTACGTGTTATGGCCAGTGTAAAAAGAATTTGCATTGACGTGTAAACAGAAAATTGCTTAATATACAGACACACACACACATACATAAATAAATAAATATATATATATATATATATATATATATATATATATATATATATATATATATATATATATATATGCCTCTAAAATAAAAAGCTTTTAACATCACAAAAATAAAACTTTAAAACTATTTAAAACATAATTTTCTTCAGCTTTGCTAAATTACTTTTTAAATTAATGTTTCACGTCTTTTCTACTGAGCTTCAAATTCTTGTTACACAAACTTGTTTATAAAGTTAAATTTTAAAAACAAATGAATAAAGACAGCACTATTTTCGCTTTTTACACATCTACAGTTTTTGCTACAGACAAACATGTCATTATTTCTGCACTTTCCTTGACAGCATTGTAAAAATGTGAACTTTGTTTACATTTTAGCTGAGTGTCGCCATTTCCTACCCTCGGGAGTTTCTAAGAATAGCCATACACCAGATCTATATCGGGCGCTCGTGGTATATGACAGGCACGTTCGAGAAATCATCGATAAAAGAGGTAAGGGAGGTAAGAGAGGTAAGAGAGGTAAAAAAGGTAAGAAATCTATACAATTGTTTGACCGTGAAAAAACATTGATTAAAGAGATAAATAAATCCAAGAATTTTTCGACCGTGAAATAACATCGATTAGATATGAAAATAGATCAATACAAATTGTGTGACCATGAAAAAGTATCGATGAGTGATAAAAATAAATCGATAAACATTGATTGCAAAGCTTTTTTTTCGAGAACACTATTTTCAGTCAAAATATATCTTTTTGATATTACTTTTTCTAAAATAACTTCTAGAGTCGAAATGTCTATGTTTTACACTACTTGTTTTCTAAAACAATATTCTAGTCGAAACGTCTCTTTTTCATGCAACTAGTTTCAATAGATCTAAGTTACAAAACTACACAATTTACATTGGCACTCGTTGATATGGCTACTGATATTTGTACTCGCATTATATAAACATCTAAAGCAGGGGTCGGCAACCTTTTGAGACAGAATAGCCAAAAGTCACAATTTACAAAATTTCCCACATTTTAAAGAGCCACTAACATTTTAATTTCAATATTACTATTACGATCTTTGATAAGGATAAGGTATATATATATATATATATATATATATATATATATATATATGTATATGTAGGTGTGTGTCTGATTTTCTTTTATTCATTACTACACCTTTCATCCGATCGCCTTGAAACATTATGAAGTTGTTGAGAATACTCCTGGGGAGTTATCTGTAAAAGAAAATCAAATTCGCAGGGGTGGCTCCCCGACAGGGAGCGAATCGGTTTATGAAAATTAAAGTTGATTGCGGATTGACACTTTTTATCCGATCGTCAAGAAACTTTTTGGAGTTGATGAGAACACTCCAGGAGAGGTTTCTGCACACACAAAAATTCTTATGGGCAGCGCCTGGGAGGGTGCGATTTTCGTCAATACACGGTTTGGCGCCTATAGTTCCAGAGCGGATATGTTATCACTCAGCATCCTTTAATCGGGTGTCCTACATAGTGGGTAAGGGTTACTACTATATTCAGCGGCAAAACTGCAACAGGCGCAGCCGCCGGCACCTCTTAGATAGCGCGACCTGAAGCGCCCCAGGCTCACCTGCGAGCACTATGGCGTCTACGTTCGTTTAAAAAAGGCTCTACAGTAAAGACACGATGAGCAAAAATTATCGAATCTGGCGCCCCAGGCTTACCCGTGAATACCATGTCGCCTAGGTTTATATGCGATACGCGTCCTCCGGCGTCTCTGCAGGTTGTAATTTGGAGCCCAGGGCTATCCCTCGAGCACTACGCGCCTACGTTAGTTTTAAGGAGCACCCTACAATATTGATAATGCGGCACACGACATTCGATGATTAAACCGATCTAGGAGCTGAACGTGGCACCCCTGCGATAGTGTAATCGGGTTCACAAGAGCGCCACTCTCTGTCCCCGACACTTAGGCTGTGAGTAATTAAACTTACACTCATGGCTTTCTATACAACACGCCCTATGGCGCGCTGGGCCGTAGTGAGGTAAACCCGTGCCCCGATAAATATGATCCAAGTACAGGCTATGTTTAAATTGTAATACCTCAGTTTTAAACAATAATGAAGTAGGCTACATTGAAAAATGGAGAAAGTAAATATTCTAATAGAATAGCGAGTGTTTATTGTTTATATTTATTATTATATTGTTCATTACCGAGTGTTGCAGACTAATAATTTTATGAGTTTTAAAATAAAATAAAATAATTATTAATATTTGTGCATGGAGCTGAAGAGCCGCACCTTGACATCAAAAGAGCCGCATGCGGCTCGCGAGCCGCAGGTTGCCGACCCCTGATCTAAAGGACTAGAAAAATAAGTAGCTGCATTAAGGTTTATGTAAATAGTAATAAATCAGGTAGTTTTAGTATCCTCACAAATGAAAAACAACTACATGTTCAATGGACGTATCGAGCAGTGGCGTAGGCAGGGGGGTTAGGGGGGGGGTCATAACCCCCCCCCCCCATAGACCCCTCGGTATATATATAAAAAGTATGAGGGGGTGCAAATCGAAAGTTTGAGGGGGGGGGTGCAAGTCGAAAGTTTGAGGGGGGGTGCAAGTCGAAAGTTTGAGGGGGGGGGGGTGCAAATCTAAAGTTTGTCCCCGGGTAAAAATTGGAACCCCCCCCCCCCCCCTTGAGACGATCCTGGCTACGCCACTGGTATCGACCCAAGGTCCTCGTCAGCAGACAACAGTATTTAATCTTGTTATCTCTCCTTGGTTCGAAATCGTTTAATAAATTTTTAATGACTAATTTCAAATCTGTTTAAATGTCAAAATTTATATTCATCCCTTGTCCTTAAAAACGAATTAATGTGTAATGTTTGAAGGAAGTTGTTTAAAAAATAGTTACAAAATTTTCCACAACAAACAGACAGGAACTAAATAAAAGCTAATATTAAATAAGGAGAAATATTTAAATATCGTTCACGACTTTTTTATTCATACTAATTTTAAGCTTTAAAGTCGAAGCTTGATATTAAAGGCGAAAAAAGGTTTTATGGGTCGGATAATTACTCCAAAATTCAGCTCGTTTTAGTTCTGTGTTTTTCATCAATGTGCCTCATTACCTGATTGCATTTAGGATACACATTTGGTTGACTATCAAAGTAATGTACGTTCTATGACTAAGGCTGTGAATTATCTAGAGAAAGACTTTTGACAACATGAAAATAATTAGGCGTTAATTAAATTTGCTTACTCTATCAACAGAGTACATTTTGTTTCCATACCCCAAACTTACCAGGCTGGGAGTGTATCTGTAACTTCAGCACGTTTGGTTATGAGAATTATTACTGTGGTAGACCAAGGGATCCCAGGTACGGGTATCTAAAGTGTAATGTAGTAATATTTAAAGAGTATGGGACGGCGTGGCCTAGTGATAGAGAGCTAGACTGCTGAACTGAATGTCTCGAGTTCGGATCAGAGTTCAGATCAGTAGAATGTCCCTAACTCCACCCAGGTGTGATGGGTAGCTAGTGCTGCCCACACTATCTTTACATATGCAGAGGTATCTGAAACAGATGAACTCTACTTCATCCGCCTCATGTGTTTTGGGCTCGAACTGGAAAAGATGATGAGGTAACAGAACGATTACATAAACATATTGAAGACTTCTTCCCACACAGATTAATGGACATGTAATGTATTCCTTTTGTAGCATGGTGTTGTATATTTTCTATACATAATATATATATATATATATATATATATATATATATATATATATATATATATATATATATATATCTGGGTGTATATACTTAGATTAACGTGTGATGACTGGGTGAGTGGAGACAGCGCCACAGTACCACAGCCACACGATGTGACAGACGCTGAGAGACATTTAGTTAAGAACATCTGCAGGTAAATCACTGTGTTAGTCAGTAGCTCAACTTACAACATATGCCTCAGTCAGTACTTCAACTGACAATTACTGGCTTAATCAGTACTTCAACTTCCAATCCATACTGACAAAGAGAACTGTTTTGTTGTTTTGTTTTTTAGACTTACCCGGAAGTAGTTTGTGTATTCTTGAGTAGGTGGCCGGAAAGAACCGCAACGGAAAAAAGCGCAACGGAAAAAAGCGCAAAACAAAAAGCGCAACGGAAATAAGCGCACACGGAAAGAAGCGCAAAGAGAAAAAAGCGCACACGGAAAAAAGCGCAAAGAGAAAAAAGCGCAAAGAGAAAAAAGCGCAAAAAGAAAAAAGCGCACACAGAAAAAAGCGCAAACAGAAAAAAGCGCACACAGAAAAAAGCGCAAACAGAAAAAAGCGCAAACGGAAAAAAACGCAAACAGAAAAAAGCGCAAACGGAAAAAAGCGCAAACAGAAAAAAGCGCACACAGAAAAAAGCGCAAACGGAAAAAAAGCGCAAACAGAAAAAAGCGCAAACGGAAAAAAGCGCAAACAGAAAAAAGCGCACACAGAAAAAAGCGCAAACAGAAAAAAGCGCACACGGAAAAAAGCGCAAAGAGAATAAAGCGCACACGGAAAAAAGCGCAAACGGAAAAAAGCGCAAACAGAAAAAACAACGAAAAATGTGCAAAAGAGAAATTTAGCACAAATACCTATATCGACTAGATGACACATTTATACATGACTGTTAAGGCTGCTGTAAGAGTGTCGTGTTTGATCACGTGATCTACTACCATTTAAAGCGTACCACTACCATGTGCATTCCCCTCACCACGATACAGGCGATAATCGCTTTACACAATGCCTATTATTTTCTTGGTCAATAATTATTCAACTACTATTCTCGTATAAATAAACATAAAACTATCCTTGATATCGACATTACACGAAGTATCTCACACATTCTCCCTAGTCCGAACTACCTAGCTTGCATACCATAACTACCCGTTCCTATGGCAAAACTTCACTCTCTTTCATCCGCGTCATCTAACATGCATTCGTCATATTTCTCGCAACAACATTCATTCGCACCAAAATAACAATTATGTATTTAATATTATTTCACATCATGACGCACTTACCTACCTACCTACTACCTACTACCTACCTACCTACCCACCTACACACTTACCCACCTACCCTCCTACACACCTACCTACCTACCTACCCACCTACCCACTTACCCACCTACCCACTTAACCACCTAACCACCTACCCACTTACCCACCTACCCACCGAAAAAGGATCGGCGAAGTTCGTTAGTTTCGTAAACTGTACTTTTTTTAATGAAAATTCATTGACATCCTTGACATATGTTACATATATGTTACATTTTGCGACAATCTTAATTAGTGCGTTGGGCTTGTATGAAAACTCACTTCGAACTAACTCATTTACATGCTATTTATTTTAACATAAAACGGTTAGCGTCACCCAACTGTTGTGATGTGAGGTGAGGACAGGTTCGACAATAAACCAACACGAAAGTACGAAAGAGACATACACTGCCTGTTAGAGAATGGACCCCCTAACTTTCCTAACCCCACCATTTATTATACCCTACCTAACCTCTAAATTTCTTGCGCTATATGTCACTTCCCTCCCAATCGTTCCTATTCTACAGAATTGTGTGTACTATATATTTACATTCTTTAATCTCAATATAACTAAAATAGACTATTGTTTGAAGGGTAATGAAAACATGTAAACATACACTTTTACTAGTGTCCGCCCCCCCCCCCCGAAAAATGTTGACCCCCCCCCCCCCCCGAAAATCCCCTTCCCCTTAGCTATGGTTGTTTATATCATTTTGCATTCGTCCGGTAAACCTTTCAGTAAAAAACCTTTAAAAACCTTCCAAAACCTTTTTATAAAGAAACAAAGAGAGATGAAGTTTTATAATAACATCAGGCTTTGACTTACATCTACTCCAATATCATCTAATTTGTTAAACTGATTAACTATGTAATGTAGTGCTCAACAGGATCAATGAACTAACCTTACGCCAAACAGGTTTGAAATGTCGAGTTTTGTAACACTGTTACTAAGCTAGCAAAATGGAAATGTGTATAATCTATATCATCTACACAAACACCCAATCACCTACCTAACTACCCACCCACACATCTACCCACATACCCACCTAACAACCTACCTACCCACCCACTTACCCACCTACCCATATATATATATATATATATATATATATATATATATATATATATATATATATATATATATATATATATAGGTAGGTTGGTAGGTAGGTGCGTCATAATGAAATAATGGTAAATAAATCGTTGTTATGATGTGTGTTTTGGTGCGAATGAATGTTGTTGCGAGAAATATGACGAATGCATGTTAGATGACGCGGATGAAAGAGAGTGAAGTTTTGCCATAGGAACGGGTAGTTATGGTATGCAAGCTAGGTAGTTCGGACTAGGGAGAATGTGTGAGATACTTCGTGTAATGTCGATATCAAGGATAGTTTTATGTTTATTTATACGAGAATAGTAGTTGAATAATTATTGACCAAGAAAATAATAGGCATTGTGTAAAGCGATTATCGCCTGTATCGTGATGAGGGGAATGCACATGGTAGTGGTACGCTTTAAATGGTAGTAGATCACGTGATCAAACACGACACTCTTACAGCAGCCCTAACAGTCATGTATAAATGTGTCATCTAGTCGATATAGGTATTTGTGCTAAATTTCTCTTTTGCACATTTTTCGTTGTTTTTTCTGTTTGCGCTTTTTTCCGTTTGCGCTTTTTTCCGTGTGCGCTTTTTTCTCTTTGCGCTTTTTTCCGTGTGCGCTTTTTTCTGTTTGCGCTTTTTTCTGTGTGCGCTTTTTTCTGTTTGCGCTTTTTTCCGTTTGCGCTTTTTTCTGTTTGCGCTTTTTTCCGTTTAAGCTTTTTTCCGTTTGCGCTTTTTTCTGTGTGCGCTTTTTTCTGTTTGCGCTTTTTTCTGTATGCGTTTTTTTCCGTTTGCGCTTTTTTCCGTTTGCGCTTTTTTCTGTATGCGTTTTTTTCCGTTTGCGCTTTTTTCTGTTTGCGCTTTTTTCTGTGTGCGCTTTTTTCTTTTTGCGCTTTTTTCTTGTTGCGCTTTTTTCTCTTTGCGCTTTTTTCCGTGTGCGCTTTTTTCTCTTTGCGCTTTTTTCCGTGTGCGCTTTTTTCTGTTTGCGCTTTTTTCTGTGTGCGCTTTTTTCTTTTTGCGCTTTTTTCTCTTTGCGCTTTTTTCTCTTTGCGCTTTTTTCCGTGTGCGCTTTTTTCTCTTTGCGCTTCTTTCCGTGTGCGCTTATTTCCGTTGCGCTTTTTGTTTTGCGCTTTTTTCCGTTGCGCTTTTTTCCGTTGCGCTTCTTTCTGGGAACCTCTTGAGTAGTATGTCATGTGTGTCTAGCTCTTTAATTGGTAGAGTTGTAAATCTTTCCATTGTAAGAAGAATGTTTTATAAATGTTTTATACATGTTATAGTCTATATATTTTATAAATTGAATTTTAGATATTAGTTGTTTTGTTTTTTTTAATTTCACTTTTTTTTATTTTTTTCTCGCAGTAAACCAGTAGAGAAAACAGTAACACACAACTTTACTGTAATTACAGAAAATGCGGGTACATTTTTTTTAATTTTTTTTTTTAATTTTTTTTTTTTTGTTATTTATAAAACGTAAGGATTTATTCATAAAAATGAACTGCTTTTATTTTTCATGGAGATACAAAATAAATTTTAGCATCAGTTGTTGATTTTTTTAAACAGGGAAACTCCCGGACCTACCATTGTGTCGGCAGTCTAGCAGACGTGTCACGTGGACTCAAACGACCCCCAAAGGTTTCTGGTCCCCGGGCAACGTCTGGTCCTCCCTCGTCTGTCAAGACCCCGGGGTCGTCAACTCCAGCTGGTTCTTGAACTGCATGAGAAACACGTCCGTCTGGTTCTTTGGGGACTCCAACGCTAGAATGCCCTACTTAAATTTATTAGAAATTACAAAATGTGACAACGTTACAGGGGGATATCCGTTATGGACGAGTTGCTACTTGCCAGAATACGGTACCAGTATTCATTTAAACACTCACGAAGGTCCGATACATATACATTTTCCGAGACAAGAATTTTTCACAATACCGAAGTTTATATTAACACTCCCTAAAAACAAAAAACATGTTCTCGTTATTCATTACTATCTACATCTCATTATATCTCATTTATCTGTGCTGTTATTACGGATGAAGTCTTTGAGAATCGCTATAGAAGAAATGCTGAGGACAAACCCGAATGTCCTGGTGGGACTTAGAGGACCTCATGTGTCCTCTTGGGAGCTGGATCACAACCATGCAGTTGGAGGAGATCCGTTAGGACCGCAGTTCTTGGAGATCATACGGGAACAGTTCAGAGGTCTAGAAGATAAAGTCGTGTTTCTAGACATGTGGGAGATGTCCATTGGAATAGAAAATTTCGATTATCATCCGCCGCAGTATGCTAACCGTGAGATGATGAAGTTTTTGTTGTCTTTTCAGTGTTGATACGCTGTGTTGTGTTGTTTGATTTTAAAGTGTTGTAATGTATAACACAGGTGACCTTAATGGACAAAAAAAACAGTTAACTGCGTTTACTGCTGTCTATTGCTCAAAAACCCAATGCTCAAATAAATTATTTTTAAACAAAAAGATGACTTTATGAATTTGTAAAACGTCATTCAAACTTTTCAGAAAATTAAGTTAATTAATATTGCAAAACAGATCGTTCGACTGTTAACCCAAAAGTCTCGAGTTCGAATCCTGGGCTCGAGTCCGCATGATGTCTTTGAGTTCACCCAGCTCTGATGGGTACCTGAGTCACTGAGTTCACCCAGCTCTGATGGGTACCTGAGTCACTGAGTTCACCCAGCTCTGATGGGTACCTGGGTCACTGAGTTCACCCAGCTCTGATGGGTACCTGGGTCACTGAGTTCACCCAGCTCTGATGGGTACCTGAGTCACTGAGTTCACCCAGCTCTGATGGGTACCTGAGAGTAAGTAGAGTTAGCTGGTCACAATATCCTTCATAGGCCGAGGTCACAAAAACAGGTGAACTCTACTTCGCATGAACCATGAACCGTAACGTTCAAGAGGGTACTTTAACTACACACAAACACACAAATAAAACAGATATGTACCTGTATTCAAGTTTTACTGAAGGTTCTCGAAGGTTTTTGTATTTAAAATAGTCGCCATTATTACGCTGTTCTATAATGACAAACCTGAACTTGTTTTTAGGACGTACTTCAAGCATCGAGCTTCTAGCGCTAGTCTGAGAGCTCTTGTCGGCCTTTGAAAACTTCTGATCTTATATTTTGTATTGAGTTTTGTTTTACATTTGTCAAAATTCATTGAAGGTTATAAATAATATTTGTCTTGAGAAATCTTGTTGGCACTTGAAAACTTTTAATGTTATATTTTTGCATTGTGTTTTGTTTTACATTTTTTAAATTTTTCAACATTGAAGGTTATAAATAATAAAAAGAAAATTGTAATACAAAAAAGCGTGCTCGATTTACTGAGGAAAAATGAGAATGAATATTGAAAGAAAGGTATTTGTATTACTACGTCGGTGTTTATAAAAAGAAAAAAAAACGTCATGGTGGAGGGGTACAGCGCACGATCACTCACCCCAAAGTCTCGAGTTCGTTTTACGGAATTGAAGTCCCTAGAACGTTCCCAGCTCTAATTGGAAATTGATTTTTTAGACAGCATAGTACTTAACATACTATCCATTCATAGGCCGGTGGTCTTAGATCTGATATAGTGACTATAACAATCGATCGGTCTAATCGATAACCCCGGGAGGGGCGTTGGGACACCGCATGTGACTTTTTCAAAATCTTTTACTTTCCTACCTGAATCTCTATTGTTTTTTTTTTAGTATTTCTTCAACAAACGATCCTGTCCAGTCCTTGAAGTCCTACAAAACAATTTTCATCATTGAATCTTGCCTTCAATCTCCCCAACACACCAACTATGTTTTTTTTTTCGACTGGTGCATTTGGCTGAAGATAATGAAGGGAAATAACCAATAAATACCGGAATACATTTGGCTCCCTTGTTTGCTTGATAATTTTTACACAACCATAAATCATAAATATTTATTATTATAAAGTTCTTTTAGATAATCATTTTTTTAAAAGTAGATAGTTTGATTTATGTTAAATTTATTTTAAAATACGAAATAATTAATACAATTTGATAAATAACATTTTTATCTGCACGCTGAGTTTATGCTGACATACATTTTACATATAACGATGGATTACCACGCCATAATATTACAATGTATCAACTAACAACCAACTAATCACTGAAAAAAAAATTCTATTTAATGGCGATGCAAATTTACGATTTATTTTTAAACCAGTTTTAATTTTGATGTTTGTTTAAATAATTACTTTTTTTTTAAACTGCGTTAATTTTTTTTAAGCTCCTGTCATCACATAATGTCACAAAATTAAACCACCCCCTCCATTCCCCTCTCCTCCACACACACATACACACACACACCCTACATTACAGATTCTGTCGCTAACACTTAGATCTATGAGTTTGCGGGAAAACAAAGAATGATGTTTGCGCACCATCTGTATTAGACGCACCATTAGGAACTCGTTTTGAATGAAACAGACGAAATGTTGTCATCAGCTGTTCTCTGCATGTGGTGTAACGATACGTTCTATGCGGTTGAAAATACATTGTTTCAACTATTTTTTCAGTTCTAAATTGTGACATTATGTTCTAATTAGTGATAATATGGGAAATTAGTGACATTGTGTGAAATTAAGTTATAATGTATTAACTATTAACGTTTATTTAGAACATTTTATAAGGTGTAGTTTCGCTTGAAGATTTTATATCCACTATTTTGGTTTAGATCTCTTATTCTCTAGATATAGAATCTAGAATAATCTAGATAGATTCTATAGAAAGATCTAGCTCTAGGTCTATATGCTGCCTTTTGTTGACGTGTTTGGATTCTTGAAGTTGTTAGTTTCTAAAAAGGAATGACAGTTTGTCATTAAAACAGTGTTTTTGTTAATCCCCTGCATATTTTTGGTCAATAGTCATTACAATCACTCGTGGCAATTTGAACAAAAAAAACTTATAAGTTTCTTAGACATTCCTGCTAACATCTCGATCATCCAAAATTTGAAGACGCAAACATGCCGGCTGGTCGTATCGGTGCTGTTTTCTCTACCATTGCTACCCTAGCCCTAACCCTATCCCTATCACTGACCCTTGCCCTGATCCTCACCTTAATCATGACCATGTCCCTGTCTCTTTTATTGATCTAAATCCGAAACAAAACCTAAATTATGCACCCGCAAGTAAGTCTCAACACCAATCTGGATTGTGCTACTGGAGTTATTCTAAGGAGCTCAAATCCTAATTACCGCAGGCTCTAATTAATTACTAACTGATCAATGTTGTGGAAGTGTGGAAAACCATGTGGCATGAAGAGGAATATACACGTTATTGGGAATATGACGTTACAGCACTCGGAAATGGCGTCATGTTTAGAGGACTTGTTCCGATTTGGTGCGGTCTTCTGTGGAAATGGTGCCGGGTACGTTTTGACTTTCACTGTTCTGTTTTTTGCTAATTATCGTCTTCCACAGTTCTGATAGAATGGCCGCCACATCCCAATCAGTTGGACCCAATCAGTTGGACCCAATCAGTTAGACCCAATCAGTTAGACCCAATCAGTTTGACCCAATCAGTTGGACCCAGTCAGTAGGACCCAATTAGTTGGACCCAATTAGTAGGACCCAATCTGTAGGACACAATCAGTAGGACTCCATCTGTTACTACTGTTAGCCGCAGTTAGACCCAGTGAGACAAATTTACTAATTGAATGTCTGTGATTTGAAAGCTGAAAATAAGCACTAGTGTATTGCTTGTGCTGTTTAAATATTAGTTTGTTTGTGTTGCAATTAAAATGTGCAGATGATTTTCCCCAGACGCAGTTCCCCAGACGCTGTTCCTCAGACGATGTTCCCTGGAGGTTTAGCTGTATCTAACAACTCATATACATGAACCCTCCACCCACCCTCCACGCATAGGAATTTAAGTCCTCATCCCCCCCCCCCCACCCCAGATAGTTTAAATTGTATTACCTCCATGAAAAAAACGCGTCTGAAAGAAACACTACCTGTAATTTACACCCTTGCCCCCCCCCCCCCTCTTCTCCACCACCACCAGACAATTTAAATCCCGTTTCCTAGATTACTTATTGCCAGTTTAAGCCCTCACACACCCCCCCCTCAAACACATACACTCTTTCAATATGCTGGCATGACACCAATGTTCAATACAAATTAGTATATAGCTATTGATTGTATTAGATTGCCTAGTGATGACTAAAGAAGCTGAGTTGATGTGGTGAGGTCATTAGCATTTAACGTCACTCCAGCTGAGATGTGGTGTTAAAATATTTTGTACTCAAATTGTTTTATATGTTGGAACTGTTCCAAATCTCATACACGATTTAAGGAGTGAATATAATAATATAGTGTTTATGGGACGGCGTGGCCTAGCGGTAGAGAGCTAGACTGCTAACCCGAGAATCTCGAGTTTGAATTCGGGTTCTAATCCGTGGAACGTCCCTAAGGGAAACAAAGGCGGCTTGGTATAGTGCTGACCACACTATCCCTTCATATATTGAGGTCATCTGAAACAGATGAAATCTACTCCATCTGCCCCATGTGACTTGGGCTTGAACTGGAAATGATTATTATATAGTGTTAAATATGACCTATCCAGTCATATACCTGACCTTTTCGGGGTTTCTTTTTACAGTGAATCTCGGACCTTCCTTCATCACTAAACTCCAGTCAAATATTCCCATGGACTAAAAACAATTCCAGAAAGTTTCTGGTCCCCGGATAAAGTCTAAACACCCCTTGTCTGTAAAGACCTACGGGTCATCAATGCCTACTAGACATTGGACTTTGAACTGTCGGAGAGACACTGCCCTCTGCATATTCGGCGACTCTACCGTCAACACTACTTGTCTTCTGTACCTTACCAGGGGCTTGCCAATGTTTCTGGCAAACTTTTAGGTTGCCTAAATTCCATCGAAATGTGAATATGAAACTCCACGAAGGCCAAAAGTACAAACATTCTTAGTAGAGTGATTGTACCTTGGGTCTTGTTCTTTTAACGATGGCCAGATGTACAAGCATGTTCAGTAGTGTGATGGTACCTCGGTTCTTGTTCATTCTATCGAGGGCCAAATGTACAAGCATGCTCAGTAGAGTGATGGTCTCTCGGTTCCTGGTCATTCTAACTTCACCAGACAACATGCAACATCTCATTCACTACTACCCTCATCACAACGACAACCTCGCTGTGCAGTTGTTCCCGCTAAAAGCTTTGAGAACCGCCGTGAAGGAAATATTGAAGACCAACCCGAATTTTTCGGTAGAGCCCGGAACTCGTATTATTACATACGATACTTATGAGAATCATGCAATAGGATGGTGGTATTTCTTGGATGTTCTTCAGTAAAGATTCAGATGTCGAGCCGGTCGTGTTTTAGACTTCGAGATTTCAATTGG